GGCGGGGTTGGAAGCGCGGCCGGGCGCGGGGTGGCGGCTAAGGGAGGGGCCGGAAGCTAGGAGGAGCGGACGCTCCTTTCCAGCTTCGGCGAAGATGGAGTCCCGGCACCACGTGGCGCTCCACACCTCTTATTGACAGCCCTGACTATGGAAACCTCTCAGCGGAAAGGGGAAGCCTCTCGACGAGGCGGGCCGATCCCGTGGCTGGAACCACGGGCTTTCAACATTACAACAATCGTGAGGGTGGCGCGGGACGCGGCGGTGGTTCCTTCTCGTGTAGGGTCGCTCACCCGGAGTCGGAACCGACTCGATGGCACCTAACAGCAACCTAACAACGGAAAGCTCTTCTCACCGCGTCCGGGAAGGCAAAGAGGGGTCCGTGAAGCAGCGCAGGGTCGAGGCCCTGGGCCCGCAGCTGCCCTTGCAGCTCCCGCAGGTCCTGGGCCAGCTGCCGCCGGTTGGGAGTGTGGATGTGCGCTCCGAGGCCGCGCAGTAGCTGTTCCACATGATGCCTGTCAAGCCAAGGACCCTGAGAACAGAGAAAGGTGGTCCGCGTGTGGCCCCAGCCCAGAGAGCACAGGGAGACGCTGGGGGAGGGGGGGGGCGAGCCACGATTGGAGTGCTTCCCCCCTCGGCCGCCAGGGGGCGCGGGGGCGGGCCACCGCACCTGTTCCCGCTCCAGGAGCCGCAGACTGTTGGCCAGCGCCCTCCGCTCCTGTTCCAGCACGGAGGCCAGCATGGCCCGCCGCTTGCTCTCTTGGTGCAGCAGACTCAGTCCCGAACTCTCCTCGGGGGACGTGGGCTCTTCGGCCCCAGCTCCTTCGGGCACCCTGGATGCGTTGGGGAGTGGCTGATGGAGGGCGGGCAGCAGCCCTGGACCTCCACCTCCGTCCAAGGGTTTAAACTCAGGCCCTTTTACTTTCACAATAAATACAAGTAAAAGCATCTGCAAGAGGGCAGGAGGAGGCACCAAATGCTATCCTTGCAAGTGGTCAGTGTGGCCAGGCCCCAAGGAAGGATTTTTCTGAAAGGCATCCAAGGGCATAACCAGGCTAAGAACCCACACAAGACCCTAGGCTCTCACCGGAGCTGGCTGGTGCCCCCATAACTGAGGCAGCGCTTGGGAGGGCTGGGTAGGTGCTGAGAGAGTGCTTGAGGACACGGGAATGTCTGGGACTGTGTGGCCGAATCAGCTGAGAGAATGGGGCTGGCGGAAGGGACATCTGAGAGAGGACAGGGCTGTCAGCCCTGTCACCTCCACAGCTCCCCTGCTCTCCCCCCAGCGTCTCATTCCCTCACCCCACACCCCGTAGCACCTGAAGGCCGTGGAGCATGGCGGGGCGAGCCAGGGCTGCGGCTCCTCTTCCCCGGCTGCAGAAAAGGATCCTCCAGGAGAGCTTGAGCAGCAGCTCGGAGGCGAGGGTCTGGCTCGAAAGCTCGGAGGAGGAAGGCCTGGGCCTCCGCTGACAGAGAGCTGGGCACTGGTGGATGTACCTTGTACATGCCCACCTAGGGGAGTCAGGGAGAGCAGGCAGGAAAATGCTTGGAGTCAGAGAAATGCTGAGGCTGGCCCTGGCCCTCTGCTGTGGGCTAAGTCTCACCTGAAACATAGCAGCCTGGGGGCTCCCCAGCTCATAGAAGGGAGGGCGGCCTGTAGCCATCTCAATTACAGTGCAGCCCAGGGACCAGATGTCGGCTGCCTTGCCATACCCTCGGGGGCCTTGGTCAATGATCTCTGGAGCCATATACTGTAGGGTTCCTAGGGTAGGACCGGGAGCAACGATGCCCACCTAAGCCCACCATTCAAGGTTGATCCCATCATCAAACGTCTATGCTGAGTTTTCTCTCTCATCCTGGGCTCCATCAACTGCCCAGGCTCCCGTTACTTGTCCTAGGTTCCATCACATTCCCGGGACTTTGTCACCTACAGTAGGGTCCCACCATATACCCTGAGCTCTAGCACCCATTTTTGCCTCCAATCCCTATACTGGCCTGCATAAACACCCCTGTGTTCCAATTCAGGCATTAAACTCAACTTCATTTCCTACCGGAGCTCCCAGTCTAAATCCCATCACCTACTCCTGGCTGAATCACTTGCACTGGGTTCCACCCGAGCTCCCATGAGGACTCACACTCCATGTCCAAGAGAAGAGCCCAAGAGTTCTGTGCCCCAGCCCTTGTCACCTGTAAAGGTCTCCGTGCAGGGTGTGATGCCCGCCAGCCGCTTGGAGGTGCCAAAGTCAGAGATCTTGAGCAGCCCACTGAAGGTATTGATCAGCACATTGTCCCCCTGATCAGAGTGGCCACAAGTTTGAGCCCCTGACATCAGGACTGGACCCCACTCCAGATACTCTCTCCTGGGGGCCCAGGTTGGCGCCAGCCATGGGGTTACCTTGATATCCCGGTGCACAATGTGATTGTCATGCAGGTAGCTCAGCCCCTGCAGGATCTGGCGGGTATAGAAACTGATGGTGCTCTCGTTGTCCTTCAGGGGTCCCCACACTGACCGCAGCAAGGAGGACAGGCTGCCTGGCAGACACAAATTCAAGTCCATCATTGGAAACCGCTTCCCCCAACTGGTCCCTCACCGGGACCACAAATATCCCAATCACTTGCTCACGGTCCAGGCACACCCATGCCATGGCCCCAGACTCCATTACTCAACCCCACTAGGTTGGGTAATTCTGGGCTGAGGCTTATCCCCAGCTCCCCCCACACCCCAACTCCGCCTCATGGTGCTGCGCCCTGCCTGGCTCCACCCCAGGCCCACACTTGGGTTCCATTCCCTGGCCACGCAGGTCAGGTACCTCCGGGAACTTCCTCCATGAAGATCTTGAGGTAGCCGCCCTGGCTGGCCGAGCCCAGATAGCGCACGATGTTCTTGTGTCTCAGGCGTTTGTGTAGCGCGATCTCTTCATGCAGGGGCTGAGAGAACCTGCAGAATGTAAACCACGCCGCATCCAGACGATGCCAACTCACAGGGACCCGAAAGTGGGTTTCTGAGGTGGTACATCCTTAGGGGAGGAGGTCATGTTTTTCTGGCCAAGCGGCTGCTAGGATTGACACCCCCCACCACCACCACTTGGGGTTAGCACTCTAACCTCAGGGCCACCAGAAAAGGTAATAAAAGAAAACAGAGAAAGTCACTGCTAGGGAGCCAGTTCTGGCTCACAGGGACCCGATCGGGCAGGGCAGACCTGCGCCTGTGGGTTTTCGAGACTGTAACTCTTTATGGGAGTAGAATATGTCATCTCTCGCCCACGGAGCTGCTGGTAGTTTCAAACTGCTGACCTTGTGGTTCACAGACCGATGTGTAACCAAGACGCCCCCAGGGGAGACAGAGGGTGGGGACTTTGAGACAGGTCTGGGCAGTGATGGTCATGTCTCCAGGGCCAGACTGGCTACACCCCCAGAGTCCGCCCTGCCCACACCCTGTTTCCCACCCATACCACCCTACTCACCAGGTCACTTCTGACCAGGGGCCCACCCACTTGGCCCTCACCAGTTGCTCCCTCCCATTGCCCTGCCAAGGGCCCTCTAAATTCCAGGGCCCGCCCACCCGACCAGACCTCGTGAGCCCTGGCATGCCCACAGCCGCACCCTTGGGCCCCCAGGGCCGCACCTGCTGTCGCGCTCCGGGATCTCCTTGATAGCGATGCGGACTCTCGTGTGTCGCTCGCGGCCCGCATACACCACCCCATATGTGCCCTTGCCCAGCACCAACCTCTCGCCGGTCTCTGAGTACTCATAGTCAAACTGCGGGGGCACAGGACGAGATGGGGGGTCAACTGGGCCCCTGCCCTGCCCCCTCCGCCAGCTCCCAGGCACCACCTCACCTCCAGCTCCTCCCCCACGTCCCCTGCCTCTTCCATGGGTACTGTGGAATCCGGACTTGTCACCGAGGTCTGGATCAGGCCGCAGAACCTGCGGGCGGGAGAGGTTAGGGTGAGGGGGGCACCTTTTTTGGCGGGTGGGGCAGTGCCGGCTTTGCCCGCACTCCTCAGCATCCCTGGCCCCACCGGCGTTGCGCGCACCACTGGCAGTGCCCTCCGCTGGGGAAGCACAACTGCACGTCCTGAGCCGGCGGGAGCGCGTAGAGGAAGCAGCAGCGCTCGTCCAGCTTTGAGGTGCTGGCAGGGCAGAAGGGCTGGTGAGATTCAGGCGGCGGGCAGCAGCGTCTTGCTGCTCCCGCAGCGCCGCCCCCCTACACACAAACCCCCACATCCCCACCACCCCCTGCGTCCCACCTGACCCCGCAGATGGAGGCGACTGGAAAGGTCCAGCAGGAGGGCGCATCCTGTGGAAAGAAAGGGGCTCCGTGGGGTACTGGGGGCGGGCGGGGGCATGGAAGGTGTGTGCTAGCCATGAAGGGGCTCGGATGCCTTCACCTGGCTGCTGGGCTCCACCAGGCTAAGGGCCACCTCGCTCACGGGGTCCCTCCCTCGGACCTCCAGCTGCGCTGGCAGTAGCACCTTGTTGAGCTCCAGGACCAGCACCTGCAGGCCGCGAGGGGGAGGGGTCAGAAGGGGCTGCCCCTCCCCTGCATCCCCCAGCCCAGTGGGCCTCACCAAGTACTGGTCCCCTTGTGGAGCGGTGGGCTTGAATGGCTGGCAGGACTGTAGCAAGAAGTGGAGCCAAAAGTGGGCACGGAGCAAGGGCCCTCCGGTGGGCTCTGGGGATGGTCTGAAGTGCTGGTACAGCAGGAAGGTTTCCATCACCGACACCAGGTACCTGTAGGCATAGCCTTGTCCTCAGCCCAGCCCAGGCACCAGCTGGCACTGCCAGCAAGAGGAAGCTGGCTTGGATGTGGCCAGAATGTGGTGACTTGGGTGCTCTGGGCACTGGCCTTGAAGGGTTCAGGTCATTGGCTCAGGGTCCAGGCCAGAGTGCCAGTGGACATGGGTATAGGACATGTTGTCAAACCAGACCAAAACCTACCATATGGGGGCATTGAGCTTGTACAGCTGCTCTGCAGCCAGCGCCACCTGGGAAGGATCATTGGCGAGGATCTGGGCGCCCAGGTAGAAACCTACGTCCCAGTAATACTGCATCTTCTCCACGCAGCCTTTGTGGGCCAGCAGGCAGCCCAGCTTCATGCCTGAGGGAGAGGGCCACAGGCCCCAGTAAGTGCGGAGTGGACAAGTGTGGGTCTCACCAGTCATGGGGTCAGGAGTGTGGGCACATACAGAGACAGGAGTAAAAACCAGGGGATGAGCGAGGTAGTGGTGTCCAGGCAGAGGTGAGGGCTTGGCCACAACTATTTATGGAATGAATACAGGTGTGAACTTGGGCACGGGTGTGGGCTCAAAGACATCTGAGAGAACAAGTGTGAGGGCCCAGATATGGGTGGAGAAGGGAGTGTGCTTAGCCCCAACCACATCCTCCCGTCCAGCCCTTTTCCCAGGCCCCTAAGGGCACCAGGCTGGGGACCCACCTATGAGCCAGAGCTCCTCGGAGTCCTCAAAGCACTGCCCGGCGGCAATGAGGAGCACCGCGGCATTGATGCCCGAGTGGAGGCTGGGCTCCACCTCGAAGGCCTTTCGATACCTGGCGTGGGGGGAGCGGGGGGGTGGGGGTGGAGGAAGGTGGGTGGTGGCGGCTAGACAGATTCCTGCAGGTCCCATCCTGTCGCCCCAGTTGAGCTCATTGCCCATGCTTGTGCCCCTTACCAGTGATAGGCCTGCTCCCTGTGGCCAGTATCCTGGAAGCCAGAGCTGAAGAACATGTCCTTGTAGATACGGCCACACATGCAGTACAGGTCAGGAGCTACCAAGCCCTCACGCTGGACGACAGGCAGCAGCACAGCCAGCGCCTTCTCACGGTCCCCAGGCCTGTTCCTCCTGAAGGAGGGGCAGGTGGGCTGGGATGCCCCTACCAGGGACCACCACCAGACCCTAGACACGGAACCCTTCCAGGGGCTTAATAATCTGGAGTCCAGAATGACAGTGGCTTTGGTGGGTCAGCCCTGACCTCTCTAGAGGCAAGGGCACCAGTGGACGTAACTCTTCCCTGTCATAACTGAATAGCAGGGACCTTGGATGGCTGTGCTCTTTCCCAGGCCATCTGTCACCCCGAGCTAGAGGGGCCTTTCGGCGTCGGGGACCCAGGCCAGTGAATCCGCTGAACCACAGTGATGCCAGGCGGCAACAATCTTGCACAGCAGAGACCCAGGCTACAGGACCCCCACATGGCTGGGACCGAGCCTGTTCAGCCACTCACCGGTTAAGGGCGAAGGTGTAGTGGAAGCAAACGTTGTGCTGCTCAGCCACGTCACAGGTGGGCAAGGCCTGCAGGGTCTCCACCAGGTCAATGATGGCTGAGTAGTCCTAAGTGAGGGGCAGCAAGCACTAGCAGAATGGCTTCTGAGGGCCTCTTAGATCCCCAGCTCCTGAGAAAGACCCTGACCACGGACCCTCTCCCCTCACTTCCCCCACTCCTGCAACTCAGACACCACACACGGCTTAGAGCACCCACAGGGCCCCAACCCCGCACAACTGCCATGAGCTCCCCTGAGGCTCAGAAAGGTTAGCTCCCTTGCCCCAGTGGCACCACCCTGAGCAGAAGTGGGGTCCGCCTGACACCAAGTGCTTGCACAGCAAGGTCTCTGGATGGCTGTGACACCCCCCACCCCCCACCTGCACGTCGCGGTAGGAGAGCAGCAGGTTCATGACGATGTCGGGAGTCAGCAGCTCCACGCTGTCCAGCCTCCGCTGCAGGCGAGCAAGCTCCTGCCGCAGCTGCTGCCCACTGAAACGTTCCCGCACCCGCCGGATGTCCTGCCGAATGGTCTCCCGGAAGTAGCCGCTGGTGCCCAGCACAGGGGGAGAGAGAAGAGAGAATGGTTCGGTCTGCCGCTTGGCCCCTGCCACCTGTATTCTCACCAGTCTCCCTCCTGGTGCCCCTGCCCCGTGGACCCCCCATTACCAGGAGTCTGTGGGCGTGACCTCCAGCAGCCGGGCCAGTCGGCTCACCAGTGGCGTAAGCAGGGCCTCCGTGCCCACCCCAGCCTGCACCAGCCCATCAGCCAGGCCCCTCAGGACACCTGCATCACCACACAGCACCCGATTGGTGGCTGTCACCACATAAGGAATCAGTGTGTAGCTGCCAACGCAATCCTGTGGGGAGGGGGCCAGGGAACAGGAGGTCAGCTCAGGGTTAGGGAAGGGAGTGAGGGGTCAAAGGACAGCACTCATGAGCACTGGAATGGCAAGGAGGGGTACACGTCATGGAGGGAGGTCAAAGAATAGAGGATGACATCAGAAGTCAGGGGCATTAGGGAGGTCAGAGGTGACTGAGAAGGGGAGAAAGGATATTGGTGGTCATATAGGTCACTATGGAGGCCAAAGGGCAATTTGGAGGGAGAGGTGGGTTCTGCTCACCGAGTTCTTCTGGAAAATATCCTCCTGTCGGAGGGAGGGATGGAGTCAGAGGCTGGTGATCTGAGAGGCACCAGCCCAGCCCTGTGACTCCCACCACCACCAGCCCTTGCCCACCTACCCGCAGGGCCTGCAGGTCAGGGAGGTCGGCCTGGGAGCAGAGGAGCACGTTGTTGGTCATGCTGAAGCTCTCCCGCACCCCGAGGTGGTAGAAGAGGGAGGGCTGGGCCAGCGAGCTGCTCACCTCCAGCACCACGATGTCTGCAGGCACCGACACGGACCCACCCAAGCTCAGCCTGCCTTTCAATGACTCCAGCAGGTTGCAAAGTCTCTCTGGGCCTCAGTTTCCCCCTTTTAGGGGTCCTCTGCCTCTTAAATAGAACTGCTCTCTGTAGTGTAGCAGGAGCAAAGTTGGCCTCACCAGTCACTGTCCCCTTGAAGAGGGCTGGGCCCAGGTCTGCTGCTCACTGAGCTTGTGGACACCCACAGTTGGGACCATTAGGTACCAGCCCAGAGCCTGTTCTAGGCCATTGAGAGGCAGTTGTGCAGCTAAAGGAAGCCTGTCCCCTGGGCTCTTGTCTACCAGTGTTCTCATGCCTGTGTCTCCACCTGTGTCCACTGCGTGTGATAGTGTATGATACCTGTGTGCCATTCTTGTCTGGCTCTGGCTCTGTGTGCGTCTTTGTGTCTCAGGGTAGGGACAGCATTCATTTTTGGATCCCGATTTCATGAACAGACTGGCAAACCTGGTTCTGACTTTGGGAGGGAAAACTAAGCACCAGAGAACAGAGCTTCTGGGTTGGAGGGAGAAAGGGGCGGCCTTGTGGTGTGATCCACCCCCACCCCATCCCTAGAGCTGCTGGGGCCTCAACACCTACCCAGGCCCAATATGCTTGGGTTTCTTTGCTTTCCTTTCTCCCTCTCTATCCTTGAAAGTCGTACACTAAACACGTGGCTGTGAAGTTGATTCCAACTCAGAGACTCCATAGGACAAAATACAGAATTTCCTGTAGAATTCCCAAAACTTAAATCTTTGCTGAAGCAGACGGCCACATCTTCGTTCCTTAGAGCAGCTAGTAAATTCCCATCGTCCACCTGTTCGCCGCCGAGTGTTTTAACCACCTTATTCCCAAGCTAAAAACTCCTGCACCGGCTTCTAAGCCGATCCCCCTTTCCCCAGTGTGGCACCTGCTTGCAGGCCCAAGGAGAAGCCCGCCCTACCGCAAGCCCCGCCCAGAGTCTCTAAGCCCCGCCCCAACTCTCGCCCCTCTCCAGGAGTGGTCCCCACTCCAGGATCCGCCAAGTTCCACCCTAAGCCAGGCCGTGTTTCAGGACCCTCAGATTCAACTTTAATCAAGGCTCTGGCTCAGGCTCTAGCAACTTTAGATGCCGTTAAGCCTCCTAAAGCTGCACCCACTTGGCCCCTCCCTGGAGGCGCCCCGCCCCGCCCCGCCCCCGGCGCGGGCTCACCCGCGTTGTAGAAGGCGTCCAGAGCCGCGGTGTCGCCCAGAGCCAGAGTTCCGAAAGGCAGGCTGTGCAGCTGCGGTGACGGCCGTGAACCCTGGAGCTGCGCGCAGGCCTCGCGTAGGCAGCGCAGGGGCAGCGGCTCCGCCTCGGTTCCTGCTCCGGTCTCCGCCCCGGCCTGCGGCTCTCGGGTCAGCACGTAGACTACGCTGAGCGACCGGCTCCAGGAGCAGCCCCGGCCGGGGGGCGCCGCGGGCGGCCGGCCCCGGCACTGCGCCTCGGCCAGTGGGTCCTGCCAGCAGCTGCCAGCGCGCTCCAGGACCCGGGGCCGGGAGCACGGCATCGCCATGCGGGGACGCTCGGGTGCCAGCCCCCGCTTCTGGGAACCTAGGGCGGGCCGGGAGCCGGGGACCAAGAATCCAGGGATCTTGGGATCGGAAATCCGGTTGGGAAAGTTCCTGGGGGCTCTGGAGATAGAGATTTGGAGTCCTGCCGAAGGTCTCCTTTCGGGAATCTGAAGCTCAGCATGGATCCAGGCTCCAGCTTGTAAGGGCTTTAGCTTCTAAAGTTGGGGAGTGGATCTCGGAAATCCGCCGTATCTGGTGCCCCGTGGTTCCGGGTCCCTAGAGAGGGATCCCAGGAATCTGTCCAGCCGCATTCACTGCCCGGGCTCCACAGGGGAGCGCCCGCCCATCTCTCGCCTGTCTTCACTTGTAGGCCGGCCCAACCCCTTCCCGACCTGCCCGCCGACTGGGAAAAACTCCACCCACCCTCAGCCCTCCCGCGAGCCGCTCCCTGCGGCCCGGGACTGCCTCGTTCCTCCCACTTCTCCTTCCAGAACCACCCAGACTGGCCCTTCTGAACTGCCTGTGTCCCTGTGCACACCAACCTCTGTGCATTACCTTAACCAGGTCAGCGTTCCGGGAGAGGCGAATTGCAGGGCTGGCGTGTGCAGGGTCTGTTAAATGGAGGAATCCAGGAAGACACCAGGTGTGCAGAGGGACCGTGTGCCCTGGACTAGGAATCTGAGCTAGGGTCTTCCTTCTTGTCAGGGGGACTGCTTTCCCAGAAGCCAACCTGCTGTAGAACCCTGTGGGACACAGTCCTCCTCCCAGAACCTGGTCAAAGGACCTGAGAAGCCCTTCCGAGCTGCGGAAATCACCGGGTGGAGAGGTCTGACCCCTGTACCCCTGTAACTTCAAAAGGGAGGAGGAGAACAAAGATCATCCGCCCCGGGGGTGATTCCTGCAAGGTGGAGCTCACATCGGACATACCTCCACACTCAGACTTGTTACTAGTTCTGATACCAGCCATCCCTCCCACTACTCTCTGCTTAATTAGTGACAATAGCCATGTCACACACAGTACAATTAGGAGATTTACTAAGGAGATAACAGGCTATGGTAGGGGATCAGGAATGACTCAGGGCACAGTTCTTTGATCAGGGCTGTCTTTACTCAACTATGCCCAAAGGTAGTCTCTCTTTGACCCTTGACCTCTTGTCATTGCCTCCAGTCTTGTTTGGGCAGGTGTTACAATGTCCTTTAGCTCCACCAATAAGTGTTCTGAGGCACCCAACTCCACCAGCAAGCCTTGGCTGGAAGGTACTTGGCCCTGTGCTCCGTGAGTTGGCACCCCCACGGTAGCCACGTCACCACACTTCCTCATCCATTCTCCTGGTCCTGTTGCTGCTGTTGCTGCTTCTGCTGCTCACTGTATCCAGTGCTCTAGCTCTCTTGTCTCCTGAATCTAGGGGGACCTCAGCCCAGGGCCCCTGGGTCCAAAGGATGGGCTCCACTCCAGGAGGTAATGAGGTCATCCTTCTGCTTTGGGATTGGCTCTTTTAAGCCTAGTGGGATGGCAGAACTAACCCATCCCTTCCTTGTGCCTTAGGTGCATGATCCCATCCCCCACCAGGGTTTCATGAGTACTTTATTTGCATAGTACCACCACAAATCTGTCTCAGACCAAATATAACCAGAATGCTCCTTAGAAGCCAAGGTGGTGAAATATTGTCTCATGTGCTGTGGACATGTTATCAGCAGAGACCTGTCCTTGGAAAAGGACATGCTTGGTAAAGCAGAGAGTTAGTGAGAAAGAGGAAGACCCTGGACCAGATGGATTGACAGAAGGTTACAACGATGGATTCAAACAGAACAATGCTCAGGGTGGCACAAGACTAGGCACTGTGCACAGGGCTGTGCAGGCAGAATGGACTCGGCACCGACTGCCACACGATCTTGTGTGGAAGTTACATGACTGTGGCAAGAAAGCCTGCAGAGAACTGACCCTTTGACTATATCCTCTGTGAAGGTCTATTGTGCCAACCTGGCCGGTAAACAATGTGGGGTTAATTGAAGGGCGGAGAGATAAATGGCTCGGTGAGCCTCACCTTTCTAGTTCTGGAGTCTGTTGCTTTGTGATGGTTGGACCAGGGGGCAGCTGCCTTAGCCAGTTGCCTGATTCAGCTGGGAAGACTCACTTCCTGCAAGACATCCTGGAGGAGAAGCCGCATGGACCTACCTTGATACAGCCCTGGGTGCTGGAGCAGCCATGTGGAGACCCCTGCCAGCGCTGAGATGCTTACATGTTCACTGATTCGACTGTCCTCCTGCAGTCAGCATTATTGTGTGTGTTTTGTGAGATGGTGGAGGACTTTGTAGATCAATGTCGGACACATGGGCTAATGCTGGACTTAGGGGCTTGGGCAGAACTGGGTTGGGATGCTTTATTAATGTACACTTACCCTTTATATAAAATTCTCTCTTATATACCTATGAGTTTCTGTGGATTTGTTTCTCTAGTCTACCCAGACTAATACACTCTGCAAATATCTCTTTATACACCTAAGTGAGAACCCAGAAATCCCAGCCTTTCTCAACTCTTAAATTCCCAGAATCCCTAACCTTGCAGTTTGAGTTAGCCAGTGACATAGGCAGCAAGCTAGTGTAAGCCTCAGTGGGCCCCGAAATCTGGAACTGGGGGCTTAAACAGGTTGATTAACTTGTCCAAGATTATTCAGCTACATGGAAGAGCAGGATTCAAGCTCAGGACCACCTAGGCTGCAGATATCAGATACCTAACCTCATCTTTCCCTGCAACTTCCTGGAATGTGGCTTTGAACAAACTAGTTGCTCACTAAGTGCTAGCTCGCTGGCTGCTGTTTCAGGGCCCTCTGGCCTCATGGAAGAAAAAAGGACTTTTCTTAGTTTGATCCTAGATGCAAACCAGCTACCAATAGGAGAGGCGTGAAATGGCAAAGAATGAGAGCTTGGCTTCCAACAGAGGCTGGGATGGGGAAAAGACAGAAGGGACAGGCACCTGGCAACAGAGAGGGTGAGAATGCTGTGTGGCCCCAAAACCATCTGCAAGAGAACCCAGGGGAATTGTCAGTGGAGGCTTGTCGCCTCCATGCCCTTGCACACCTCCAGAGATGGGGGCCTCACATCCCTCGGGAAGCAGACCCTTCCAATTCCTGGCTGGAAGGAAGGTGTCCTTGACGGAGCGGAAACCTCTGCTGCTGCTCTGCCTTCTTAGATTCCTCTCCAGTAAGTGGAAGAGACTTAGAAGCCAGGACAGAGTTAAAGTGACATTATTTTAAAATATGGACAAGGATCAGTTGGCATGGGGAGAAGTGGCTGAGGGTATGGAAGCTGTACAGGGGAGATAAGGGTGTTCCCTACCAGGGTACCCCAATGAAGCACCATCTGAACCTTGCCGTCTGGCTGTTGCCATTCTGGAGGGCTGTGGCTACCCACTGAGGTAGGGTCTGTATCCTGGGGTGCGGTAGCCAGCCCCGCACAGGAGCCCTGCTTGTATTGGGGTGAGCCTCACAACAGCTGGAAACTCAGAGAGTCCTAGCAGGGAAGAGTCAGAGGTGTCCTGGTGGTTGGCATGGTGCCTGGAACCTTGGAGAGAGTATCTCACCGCAGCCCCAAGCACCGTGAGCTGGAGGCTTTCAGCCCTCTGAGAAAGTAGCACCAAATGGCCAGGTAGTTTGCCCAAGGGGCAAACAGCTCACCACAGGGCTTCTCACTGGGACTCGAACTCAGGACAGTGAGGCTACCACATGACCAGTCATCCTTCAGTTTTGTCCCCACCCAGACTTCCCTGCTTCAGTCAGCCCCTTTGCTCCCTCCCAACTCTCCTCAGCAGCCTGTGCAACTGACTCTGCCAGCTGGCGGGAGCCCCTGGGGTGCTGGGTAGGAAAGGGGGCTCCCTTTAGGCACCTCCCCATAACCACTTCCCCTTTAAAATATCTCCCCAACAGTCATGGTTTCCCAAAAAACAAAACCACGCCAACAAAGTCTTCCCTGCTTCCTCCTCTGCAGCAGAGAACTGAGCTCAGCGGAGCCTCCTTGCACTTTCTAGGGGAGGGGACTGAGGCTCCAACAGGAAAGGCACCTGTAGTTGATCAAATGGCCGAGTTGGGTTCAAAATCAGGTCTCTTTTGCCGAGATCCCAAACTCCCCACTTGCGTCCTCCAGCTCGGCAAAAGCAGGCTACCCAGAGGGTCCACCTGGTTGGTGCTAAAAGAGGGGAGCTGCCAGCTTCTCTGACGGCCGGACGACTGGGGCATGTGCAGTCTGTCTCTCCCCCATTGTCCCCTAGGGACACCCCACATAGGCTGGAGCCAGCAGAGAGTGGCGCCACTTCTTTCTTCAGCCCTAACAGGAACGGGCACCACCTCTGCCTGCCCTCCGGGGCCCCTGACCTTCTCTCGAGGACTCTGAATTCATAGAGTGGCTTCTGCCCTTCCACCTCCGCCCCTGCCATGCCTTCCCTCTGGAAGGGTCTCCTCCTCATCTCTACCTGTGACTGAAGCCCCAGGCCTAAAATTGCCCCCACTGAGAATCCTGCCCTGAGTCTCCCCAACAATACCAACAAGGACTCTCTTGGGCACCCTGATGATATGCTGAGTGCAGCCTGTCAGCACCCCGGACCTACCCAGGGCCCACACATCACACACCGTGACTGGATCTGGATGACAGGCCTGGCCCAGAGCAGGTACCCCATAAACATTAGTTCCATGAATAACTAGAGTGAAACTAAAGTGATTTGTGCCCACCTGATAGTCCCTCTGGGAGCCCCAACAAGGCATGAGAAACAGCTGTCAAGACAGGTCACTGGTGTGGGCAGGGGAGACCAGGAAGCCAGTGAGGAGGTTGCAGGCAAGGTCTGGATGTGAGGGCTGAGGCCTGAGTGGCAGGGGAGGCTGGTGAGAGGGTGGCAGCAGAAGGGAGGGAGGGCTCCTTCCCTCATTTACTCAAGGAACCCTCCCAGGGCACCCCCTCTGTGCCAGGTCCAGTGCTGGGGCCTGGGACAGAGGAAGGGGCCGAAAGGCAAGGGGTGGAAGCTGAGTTTGCCTGGTGGATGGAGGTATGAGATGGAGACTCTCAATCCCAGTGCAAGGAATCCGTCCTCTGGGAACCCTTCCACAGGTGTGCCTGAAACACAGCGGGCTGCTCAACATAGCCGTTTGTAACCAGCAGTGTGACCCGCCTGGAATCACATCTAATGCTATCTGGGTGGTCCGGTGCTTAGGCATTTGGTTGCTAGCCTAAAGGACAGCGGTTTGAACCCAGCAGCCATTTTACAGGAGAAAGAAGTGGCAGGCTGCTTCTGCCAAGATGTGCAGCCTTGGCAACCCTGTGGGGCAGTTCTACTCTGTCTTTAGGGTTGCTATGAGTATAAATAGACTCTCTGACAAGGGGTTTGGTTTTGGGGTGCACAATCACAGGGCAAATCTAATCTTGGATGAAGCCCCGTAGATGCAGAACAGTACAAAGAGGCTTCAAAAAGCTTATGGGGAAATTCCATGATCTTTCCTTCCATTTTCCATTTAGCCCCCTTGTAGGTAGAACATAACCCCATTTTGTATTTCACAGGTGCTAAATGCATGCATGTCCACGATTTCGCCTTGTTTAAACCCATAGGCAATGCTCATGGAAGCAGTGGTCAAGAGATCAAAAGATGTGATGTGTTGCATTAGGTAAATCTGCTGCACAAGACCGCTTTGGAGTATTGAAGAGCAAGGATGTTACTTTGAGGACTAAGGTGTGCTTGACCCAAGCCCTGGTATTCTCCGTTGCATCACACGCATGTGAAAGTTGGACACATTAAACGAAAGAGAGAAAGAAAGAAAAGGAAAGTCGAACACTAAATAAGGCAGACAGAAGATGCACTTGAGTTTGGGTGTTGGGGAAGAATATTAAAAGGACCACGGGCTGCTGAAAGGGCAAGCCGAGCTCTCTTGGAAGCAGTTCGGCCAGAGTGATCCTTGGAGGCAGGATGGCGAGTACTTTGTCTTACAGACTTTGGACATGGCGTAAAGGGAGAGCCGTCCTGGAGAAGGACGTCAGGCTGGGCAAAGTGAAAGGGCAGCGAAAAAGAGGAAGGCCCTTAACGAGATGAGTTGACACCGCGGCCGTAACCACTGGCCCAGTTGTGAGGACGGCGCAGGGTTTCTTTCTGTTGTGCGTAAGGTGGCTATGGGCCAGCACCGGGTGGGTGGCACCCACCCCCAACAAATGTCTGTGAAGGGGCACTGGAGGACCTGGGGCTGCACGCTGGCTGTAAGGGCAGAGTCAGCAATTCAAAACCACCAGCCGCCCTTGCGGGAAAAGATGGGCCTTTCCAGTCCTGAAGGGTGTTCGTCTTGCAAGCTCGCAAGGGCAGTTCGCCCATATCCTAGAGGGTCTTCTGCGTCAGCCTGGGCTCGATGGCTGTGAGCTTGCCCTCAGGTGACAGAGGAGAACCAGTCAGGGGGCTTTCCTAGCTGCTCTCTTCAGGAAGTAGATCCCTGGGTCATCCTTCCAGGAAGCCTCGGGGTGTGCTTGAACTGCCAGCGGAGAGTTCGCCCCATCAGGACTCCTTCGGTGTGGAAGAAAAGGTCTGTCACATACTGTTAAACCAGTTGCCACCAGTTCCAGCTCACGGCGGCCCTCCGTGTCTCCGAAGAGAACTGTACTCCATAGGGCTTTCGGTAAATCGGTCTTTTCAAAAATCGGTCACCAGGCCTCTCTTCTAAGGAGCCTTTGGCTGGACTTGAGCCTGCAACCTTTCAGTTAGCAGCCAGCCGCCACATTAACGGTTTACACTGCTCACAGACATCCACACATACTGGTGACTCTAGTCACTTCTGGGGAGTGGGACGAGAGAAAGAAGCCTGATTCGCACATGCCACAAACTTCTGAATCACGCTTATATAATCCATTTCTGTCCTTACAGGCGAGGCGTTTTCTACTTGTGAAAAGAACGCAGCTAATAAAGACAGGGCTAAGGGAGAGGGAGGGAGGGTGACCCAGGGAGGAGGGACTGCTGCACCAAAGCTTGGAGAAGGAGCGTGTAAGGCAGGCTGGGTAACAAGTAGATCCAAGTAGCCGGAGGAGGGCTGCAGGGGAGGCTGATGTCTGGACCCTGAGGCGGCTCTGGTGATGCCAGTGGGGGCGGAATGGGGAGCGGGCCTGGCTGCGTTTGGCACTTGGATCGGGTGTGGTGTGTGGGCAGGTGAACGCTCTGTGGGGCTGGGCAGCAGTGAAGCGATGGTGAGTTAGTTAATTGTGCCAGCCTGGCCGATAATCACATGTGGTGCTGGTTGAAAGGCGGAGGGATAAATGGGTGGTGAAGCCTCGCCTTTCGAGTTCTCGGGTCTCTTGTTTTGTGATGGTTGCATCGGGTGCAGCTGCTTTAGCAGTTCCCTGCTTCAGCTTGCAAGATGGATTTCCTACAAGACATCCCCAAGGAGAAGCCGCATGGATCTATCCCGATGCAGCCCTGGGTGCTGGAGCAGCCGTGTGGAGACCCTTGCCAGTGCTGAGATGCTTACACGTTCATGGACTCAGCTTTCCTCCTGCAGTCGGCATCATTGCCTCTGTTTTGTGAGGTGAAGGACTTTGTGGACTGGTGTTGGGTATGGGTTAATGTTGGACTTGTGGGCTTGGGCAGCATTGGGTTGGGATGTTTTCGTGATGCACATTTTCTTTGCATAAAACTCTCTCTTATACGTGAGTTGCTGTGGATTTGTTTCTCCAAAGTACCTAGACTAATACAGATGGGAACCCCAACGCCCTTCAGAGGCCCTGAAGCTGCCGCTGAGGACCCTCCAGGGAGGGGGGGTAGGAGACTAGGAGCTGTAGAAGGCTTGCCCAGAAGCTGCCCACCTGGAAGGGGGATGGGGTGCAGTGCAATAAAGAGGACAGAATGCAAGCCTCCCCTCTGAACTTTTCCTGCGTGTCGCTAGATGGGTACGTTGTTAGTCCCACTTTACAGACGAGGCCCACAGCCACTAAGTAACTCGCTTGAGTTGACACAGAGCAGTCACTTCCACAGGCTGAAATCTCAACCATGACTCAGCTCTCCTTCCCACGTCCTAGGAGAGAGGAAGCGCCCATCCATGGGAGAGGAGTCAGTCGAGAAGGCTTCTGAGCCCAGAGCTAGGCCGCCGGGTTTCTGCCTCTATACTCTCCTAAACCCACTGCTAGTGAGTCGGTTCTGACTCAGAGCGGCCCTGCAGGAGGATAGAATGGTCCCTGTGGGTTGCTGAGACTGGAATTCTCTATGGACGTAGAAAGCTGTATCTGTCTCCATGGTAGTGGCAGTGGTGGTTTCAAACTACTGACCTTGAAGTTAGCAGTCCAACCTGTAAGCACCGGGGCCCCTCACCTCTACACGGTGGGTGGGAGTGGGGTGGGGGGTTGCGATATAACTTTAGGGGCTGAGATGCCAGGGAATGCCTCGGGAGAGGAGTTCGGAAGAACCTTGTCCCCAGTAGCTGTGTGACCCCGAGCAGGTGTCCTTACTTTCTGAGTATGTCTATCCTCATCTGTAAAGGGATGGGTATGTGTGTAAGGAGGGTGGCTAGTCTCACAGAGTAAAATGTTCTCAACGTTCTAGGTTGAATCCTTGTTAAGGAGGGAGGCAGTGACCGTCCCCCACTCCCATCCAATCCATCCGCCAGGACACAGGACATGAAGCAGCAGGCTGGAAATAATTCCTTTATTTGGGGGCAGTGCCCAGGTCAGGTAGGTGCAGGGACCAAGAGTAGGACCAGAGGTGGGTGGGAATGCCCTTGGCTGTGGTCGCTGGGCCAGGACAGAAGGGCAGGGCCTGTGTCAGGTGCTGAGCCTGCTCAGGGCTGCAGGGGCCTGTAGTAGGTGACCCACGTCTCCCCCCACCCCTGAAGCTCACAAGGAGCCAAGAGAGCAGCCTGTGGGTCCTTCTTCCCCTCCATGTGGAAACAAAGTCCAAAGGGCCCAGACAGATGGGGCCCCAAGGAGGTGGCCCTGCACCCGCCAAGCCAAGGGTCCCTACCCCCAGAGAGCAGGCAGTGGCTAGAAAGGCAAACACTTTCATGGAGGCTGCAGCGACCCACCACACACAGCACACAGGGGCTGGTGCGCAGTTCCCTGCTGAGAGGGGAACCAGGTGGGACACGTGGCCCCAGCTCCGCCCTCTGCCACAGGACTCAGGGCCAAGGCTCCTCTGCTGTCCTCTACTGGCTCTCCTCTCTGCTGGCAGCATGAGGGGCAAAGGCAGGGGTCAGTCAGCTTCCCAGCCAACAGCTGGCAGAGAGCCCCACAACTGGAGGGGGGAGAAGGGTGTGGCTCATACAGGGAGGTGGGGCAGGGCAGGAGTCTGCCTCCTTAGAGCAATCCCATTGGGAAGAGAGAGCCTTGGGTACTGAGGACCA